TGAACAGAACACAGCGAGATTCGGTTAACTGTACGGTTATAGCTTTATTGATTCCTACTAGTTCACAAATAATTCCTCTGCGTTCGTATATATGCAGCAGATCCTATCACCACTAGATTAATATTGAAGAAGTAACACGTCGCCGGCTTCGTCTTCCTCTCTCACGTTCGTCCTCTCCTCGCGTAGACAGGCAGTCTCCAAGGGGTCTCTCTCGTAGTCGCTCCCGGCTCTACCTAACTGAAATCCCGTTCTTCTCCTTCTCCGTTTTATTCCCCTCTCCCGTTCGTCTCCGGTTTGGCACCTACCTGAAAACCGGTGCCTCTATCTTCTCGCTCTGCAACGCTTCCGCTCCCTCTCTCTTCTTCTCTTTCCTTCTCCTTCTTCTTGCTACCTAGCCCTGAAAAATAACGCTCTCTTCCTCTTTCTCTTCGTCCTTGGCTGCTTCTTCTCCTTCTTCTTCTTCTTCTTCTTCTTCTTCTTCTTCTTCTTCTTCTTCTTCTTCCTAACCCTAACCTGAAAAAAAACCCACTGCTCTGTTCGGCGCGCCTTATATACCTAGCTGGCACGCAGATTTCGTTCGCTGGTGCAATCGTACGTTTTACCTGCTGACGCAACCCGTGTCTGGTACGACGATTGCATCAACTTATGCAACTCGTTTCCAAGTAAATATTCCTCTCTCCGACAACTTAGACTATTCATTCTATTCAAGTCTCCTCATATATTATGCTGACTAATAATACATAACCGCGCAGATTATTCTATTCTATTTATCTCGTTATCGCTTTTCGCGTAAACACTTCTTGTTTTCCCCGACCATAGCAGTAGCAGTGATAGCATGATCCAAGATGGCTGCGCCCATGGACGTGCGTGTTGACATATTTATGTGCGATCTATAGCTTGTCCTCTCTTTAGTCAATATAATTGGTTATTCCATCTATACTGTGAGTTCAATCTATCCCTCCTGATCTAGTCTACTGCTCCTGTAAGTTACACACCCCTGAAATCTCCACAGTATGATCCCGTATGCATGTGTTAACTGTTTTAATGTTCCTCGTTACATTTGTGGCTACATGTAATTGTTCTATCATCTCCGTATTATTGTCTGTGTTTGGAAATTGGCCATAAGCCCTACAGTATTCTCATTGTCGTCCACCTTTAGTCTCTAGGTACCGGTACTCAGTTATCAGACATATAGGAATAAGTGCATGGAGTTAAAGGGGTGCTGCGCCACTCCGTGTTATTGTGTATCTCGCGTTGTTCTCGCGCGTTCTGGCGAGAACCTTTGTTGTCATTCGCGTGACCGTCCATGTTTGATTCGCTGTACATGTTTGATGTCAATACAGTTTGTTGGACTCATACTCAGCTGTGTGTGGTGGTATTAATCTAGTTAACGGAGGTATTAATATTATCTGGAACTACATGTTGTTGGTTTCCAATGGTGTAGCACACATATTTGGATTGACCCAGTTTGCTCTAATTTTCGGCCTTTTTTATATAAGAACCTGTTTAATTTATTAGGCTGAAGAGGTTCTTATATAATAGGTGCTTTATTGGTCCAATTTCAGCCTGGAGGTTCTTAAAATCACGGGTTCTTTTATGCGGGTGTTTACTGTATTCTCGCATTCCCGTGCGCACGCGTGTCCACGCACGGAGTCATGTAATCGTGTTCTCATACAAACGTTATCTATATGTATAAATATGTATTTGTAAACGGATACAGACTGTATCATACAGTATATAAAGGTCTGTCAGTGGAAATGCCAAATGTGTCCTTTATAGACAGGCGTCTGTTATATAGAGATGATTTTACTGTATGCTGGGCACTCACAGGAAATGCCCAAATTGTTCCTAATAGAGTTATGTCCATCCTATATAGGCAGTGTAACTGTATAATGGTGTCTCAATGGAAACACTGTATGTCCTATATAGACAGGTGTCCTTACATGCAAGTCCTAATTGCATTGAATTATGCATTTCAGAGCATGCTAATTGAATTAAATGTTTATACAAACATGTATGGATATAAAGGAATTATTACTGAGATAGTAATGTTAAAATATAGATAAAGATATGTAGGTTATTATTAAAATATATAGATTTTTGAACACCTATTTATTAGCGAGTGATTTTCAATTATGATCAGAATTATTGCATGAATCTTTCCAGACAACATATGAGATGAATGACCTAAAGTTATGTTGCATCTCATGATGTTATGGACACAGTAGCAAGTATAAATGTTCCCCGCACCACTCCTCTGAACCACGCCACAGGAATAGATTAATTTTTTAGGGCAAGGCCAGAGTTGCTTTGCCTTTAATTAATCATAGCTTTTTTTGCAACATGCACCTGATAAGAGGAGCAGCTGCAGCATTTTGTTGTCGTGGACGTCGTGCTGTTTTGTAACAGTACGACGCGTCACCGTTAGATTGTTACGCTGGGAAGTCTCTAATCTGTTGGTTTCCGTTTGCAGATGCCAGAGATGGCAGAACTGTTGGATAAGGCGTTGGCGGAAGGGAAGGGCATGCGGATGCTGCTGCTACAGAACCTTGGCCTCCTCGTTGGAGTAGTCCTCATGTTTGTGCTGGCAATGTTCCAGGGTAATATCCAGTTTGTGTAGAGGTGGCGCTGCAGTCACGGCTACGGCCGTTATCACATCCTGGAGGTAGTCGAAATAAACGAAAAACTGCTATTTTTTTGTAGAAGTTTTAGGTTTTTCGCGGGTAAACTGATAAACGCTGTGCATAAAATTAATGCGTAGCCGCAGATTCATGTGCTTTCTCGCACTAGGGAGTGCTTTTGGTAAGGTTATGGTTCATGGCATTACATGGAGTGTATAGGAGCTTAAAATGTTTTCTTTTCAAACCTTTACATTGGAAAAGAACATGGTTACTTTGTCCTTTTCCGGCAGCAGAACTGATGTACCAGAAAAGTGAAAATGAGTTAATTTCGGCCCTCCTGTACCTAGCTTGACTCTATCTGTGTACACACATGTTCCGTTGTTGCTTTTTATTGTTGCATTCGCCATCTATACAATCCGACCAATACTAGCCAATAGAGCTCCGAAGTGATGACGTCACGGTGGCATGACAACGAACCTACTGGTTCTAAACAATCATATGCTCTGGTAACATTATCTGCGTGAAAATGGTGTCGTGTTTTGTACCCGATTGTAACTATCATTCTGAGAGTCATTATTGCAGTTTTTATAGATTTCCAAAAGATGAAAGTAAAAAGCAACAAAAAATAAAAAAATGAAAAAATAAAAATAAAATAATTAATTC